ATTGAGCACTTTATGCCAAGGTAGACTCTACCCCCACATTTATATAATTAGAGCTAAGAAGCCGTCTTCATGAAACAAAAGAACAGAATTCATTTCCAAATGCCGCCACGAAAATAAGTTTTACTTAGCAAATTTTAGCTACTAACAATAGCTCTATAGAATCTTTACTTCACACGTAGATCAGATCATCACACTAGTGAATTAATTAGCTACTTATTTAATTTATATATAAGGAGGTATGTTCGTCATTGAATAAAGTTCTGTCTGACGAGCAGTTAGGCGCGAAACTCAGAGCAACAGAAAATCGATGTGTCCTCTTTGATTCTTTCACTTATATATATATATATATATATATATATATATATTGAAAAAATGTAAAATGGTTTCCGTGTTTACATAGCCTGATGTAAACACGCAGGAGGTTGGGAGAACACGAGATAAGCGTAGGAAACCATGACGCGAGGCGGAGTGGTTTCCAGCTTATCGACATCAGGCTATGTAAACACGGAAACCATTTTACATTTCTTATATAAAATAACTAATGAAAGAGGAACGAAAACCGTGTTTACATACGCTCATGTAAAATAGTTTTATGGCCAATCAGAGCGCGCGTACTATTTGAATTATTTTATAAATATATATATGTATATATATATTTATATATAACATGAATTTTTGGCACACATAACAATCAGGAAAGTTCTGATGTGCCTGTGACAACTTGTCAAAAATGAGACCTAAAATTGGAAGTGTTCATCATTGGATCGGAGTTGATCGGAATAGATCCGATATCCTAAATTGCTAGGCTACCAAGTCTAGAAGGCTCGGCTACGTCAAAAGTCTGACTATATATTCATCACTTACATTCATTAAACATTCATCAATAAAACGCTGAGAGGAGGTTAGAAGAGTTCGATCGACAGACATATTCGCAACAAACAATGACTTTCCAGTGGACTCTCGCTGCTGGCTTTCTGTACGCCGAGATCATTGTTCTTTTGTTGTTCTGTCTTCCTAAAATTTCTGCCGAAAGGTAAGCTTTTTGAATAGGTAGAATCTAAAAACTTGCAGCCGAGTCGATCGAGCGTCATATGAAAGATAACATCAGTGCAGAGCTTCCAGCTTGTCGTTGATCATTGCAATGAATGATTAACACTTTTGCATTTTGTATTTTAGATGGAAACAATTTTTTTACTCCAGGATCGCGGCTATTTTGTTCAGTTATGGAAATTACTACTTCGGCGTCTTTGTGTTGATGATGGGTCTACTGTTAGCAGGTGATACTTGCATTTTGACGTTCAAATGACTCGTGTTATCTTCATAGCGCATTTACAAAACTAGCAAGCTTTTTAACGATTCATACTACACTCTACCGTCTGTATTGAACAAGCTAAGCCTGTAATAGATTACTATGTTATCAAAAGTTAATTTTACGTAGTTCCATGCCAAATTCTGCATTTTTCATCACACATTATGTATTTTTGTCTTACTTCCGGGTTGTGCCCAAAGTGAAAGGGAAATTTTTCATTAGCTTTCCTTGATCGAGAAGAACCAAATAGAGAAAAACCGAAAAAAAGAAAGTCACTTGTCATTTCTGAGTCATGTGTTTTTTGGAGATCTTTTAAGCTAATCTTGCCTTCAGCGTATAATTTTATATCGATGTCGAGTCATCCAAACTATCATACAATCCTGTTTGTAAACCACCACCCAACCTATTGGCCATGAGGTTGCGCGTGAGACTGGGTCGGTTTCGCTTCGAATTGCATTATCGGATTGTTTTGGGGGACGCTGTTGTTTGTGAAAAAGAAGCTTCGATCTACCGTAAACATCGATCTCTTCGAAAATGGATAAATTTAGCTGTTGTGTTCCTGGATGCACCAAAAACTGGAGAAATTCACCAAATATTAATTTCACACTTTACCAAGCGATCCTTAAGTAAAAAAGGTGTACGTACAACTGATACGAAATGTAACCTTGTAGAAGGACGCACTAAGCACAAGGATTTGCGGAGCGCATTTTCCAAGAGGAATGAGGATGAGTAGAATTTAACTTCCTTCAATATTTCCTTGGAATATCATCCCAAAGAAGCGCCGTAATATACAGAAATCGCAGCTACCTCCGAAAGGTGAAAACAAGTGCCCACAACAAGTGCTCCGATTGTTGACAGCAACGAATGTGAGAACCTGCAGCAATTTGAAAAATATGCTGTTGGCCTATCTATACGCTTGCAAAACTGTAGTTTTTATAATCATTTACTCTTCGATCGAACTGACTCTTGTCTTCGATCGAACTGACTTTTGGTTTCGATCGAAACGACCTTCGATCGAACTGACTTGCTACCTGCTGTTGATGTAAACACTGATAATACAATTCAGAAAGACCAAGCTTCCCAAACTGAAGTTTGTACTGAAGACCAAGCTTATCAAGTGGAAGGTCTCAACGAATCAAAAGATCTTAAAGATGAAATCGTTTCTATAAAACAAGAGATTGAATCGCTGAGGAAAGCCGTCAGTGATTGAAACAGGCACAAAACCATTTTTCTTGTAAATTCCAAGCCTGCATATTCCATCATCAAGAGACTCTCCTTCCTTCAATCCAGTGTTCTTGAATTCAACAATCTGGCTGTCATTCATGACTCCGTCAGTAGACGTACCTTAAAATGGATGTGTCTCAGATACAAGAAAACTTGACTAGCGCACCTTCTGGCTAGTTTCATTTTCAAATATTTGGATGATACTTGATTCGTATTCAATACCATCTCTCATGGTATAGCATTTTGAGAAAGGGCATATGAAATGACAAAAGAGAGTCAAATAATTTTTTCCTGTTTTTTCGCCTCTGTTTTTAATCTTAAAAATAAGTTTGAAATCTGCACCATGCTACTGTTTGTGAGAAGTACCCAGTTCTTTAGGAGTGATGTTAGCTGAAGCCTTGTCATCTTTCCTTTTTTTACCAGAAACATGCTTTTCAAACTCAACTTCTTGAATAACTGTTGGTTTCTTTTTTCTTTTACTTGGGACGTTCCAAGTACATGGTTTTGATATGCAAGGAAGCTGGTCACTTAGAGTCTGTTTATTGTTGGTTGATTTGTTGAAGATGTCTTCCATAGCAAATAAAGTGGCAGTTAGGTGGTTACAGCATCCATCATTCCCAGCTGGGCAAGGGCAAAATGCTCTTTGAATTTCAGAGTTGGCACCTATTAAGATTTTTACAGTATACTCTGGTCCAGCCTTTGAATATAAAGGTAATACTTGGCTTGATGTAGAAGAGTCCATTGTCAGTTTTGCTATATAAACCTAATACTTTACCAGACTAATAGAAGTTGTAACCTTTCATTATGGGTTTTTGCACAGACAGTTGCTTCTTAAACTCAACTTCTTCAATCAAATATTTCCAAATTTGACTGTAGCCAATCTTAGGAACCCTTAATATTCCAGCTTTGAATCCATCTTGTGGGAATAGAACATCTGTTGATGGACTGACTTCTTCTTCCAAACAAAGTCTTAGGCACTTTTTCTGAAGATTAAGACCTCCATATTCCAAGATTATGGAATAATTCGTTGTCTATGTCATCATTTATTGTGACTCTGAAACCACAGAAAAAGGTCTCAATGAATTCTGAAACAATAAAACCATGCAAAATGGTGGGAACAACCTAATGTTACCCATGCCATGATCATCTTACCTTTTTCATCAAATCCTCTTGTTTTTGTGATACCTTTTCTCCCCTACAAGCAAGCCATTGCTTATGAATTGCAACTGTATAATGTTCAGCTGATTTTGGTAATTCAGCACCAGGTATATAGCTTTCAACTAATTTCAACTCAAAACAGCCCCATAGTGTGCTTTGAAGCGAAACTGAGCTAGTCTCACGCACAACCTCAAAATGGCCAATATTTCCCGTTGATTTGGGATTCAGTTTTTCAACCATACTTGTCACTATTATTGATAAAGCAACAGAAAAACCATTTTGTTAAACTCTATTTTGAATCCAAATTTTCCCATGAATTGCTATTTTGAAGAATTTTTTGTTGTGTGATATTGAGACTGGTGTAGACATTGATCAATGTCTCAAGTGACTACAGGACTCTCTTACCCTTTAAGATGGAATCCCTTCTAACCAAATAAAACATA